TCTCCGACTCAGTAGGGCAGTCTACCCAGGCAATAGAAATAAAAGCAAAAATTAACAAATGGGACCTAATTAAACTTAAAAGCTTTTTCACAGCAAAGGAAACCATAAGCAAAAGAAAACGACAACCTACGGAATGGGAGAAAACATTTGCAAGTGATGTGACTGACAAAGGTTTAATTTCTAGAATATATAAATAGCTCATACAACTTAATAACAAAAAAACAAACAACCCAATCCAAAAATGGGCAGAACCCTAAACAAGCAATTCTCCAATGAAGACATACAAATGACCAATAGGCCTATGAAAAAATGCTCAGTATCGTTAATTATCAGAGAAATGCAAATCAAAACTACAATGAGGTATCACCTCATACCAGTCAGAATGGCCATCATTCAAAAGTCCACAAATGATAAATGCTGGAGAGGGTGTGGAGAAAAGGGAACCCTCTAAACTGCTGGTGGGAATGTAGTTTGGTGCAGCCATTATGGAAAAGAGTATGGAGATTCCTTAAAAGACTAAAAATAGACTTACCACATGATCCAGCAATCCCACTCCTGGGCATATACCCAGCAGGAACCCTAACTCAAAAAGACACCTGCACCCCAATGTTCATAGCAGCACTATTTACAATAGCCAAGACATGGAAACAACCTATATGTCCATTGACAGATGACTGGATAAGGAAGTTGTGGTATATTTATACAATGGAATACTACTCAACCATAAAAAAGAATAAAATAATGCTATTTGCAGCAACATGGATGGACCTGGAGAGAAAGAAAAATACCGTATGATATCACTCATATGTGGAATCTAAAAGAAGAAAAATGAAGACACTAATGAAGTTATCTACAAAGCAGAAACAGACTCACTGACATAGTAAATAAACTTACAGTTACCAGGAGAAAGGGGGTAGGAAGGAATAAATTGAGAGTTCAAGATTTGTAGATACTACTATATATAAGAGAGAATAAACAGGTTTCTTCTGTATAGCACAGGGAACTGTATTCAATATCTTGTAGTAACCTATAATGAAAAAGGGTATGAAAACAAATATCTGTATGTGTATATATGACCGAAACATTATGCTGTACACCAGAAATTGGCACAACATTGTAAATTGACTATACTTCAAGAAAAAAATAGATAAACAACAAAGTCCTACTGTATATAGCACAAGGAACTATATTCAGTATCTCATAATAGCCTATAATAAAAAAGAATACTAAGAGGGAATATATATATATATAATATAGATCTAAATTATTATGCTGTACACCAGAAATTAACACAACATTGTAAATCTACTATACTTCAATAAAAAAGGAAAAAAATAGGAATAATGAAAAAATTTTGATTGTCATTCTAAAGAGTATAATCCGAATGCACAGGGTGTCACAGGGCTTTCTGTACAATACATGTCACATCCTCCTCAGGTGCTCAAACACAATATTGTAAATCAACTATACTTCAGTAAAAAATATTTTTTTAAGGAAAATTCAATTTGAAAACAACAACAACAAAATAGAGCTATGAATTGACCAGATCAGGAGGTTAGAGCTACGGCAAAATCAGAATCCAAACTGGGGCCATGATCTCCATGTTCTTGTTACATAGAGGCTTTCTACTTCCTACAGATTAGAACCTTCCAAAGTTCCCAGTTTGGCTAGAACTTACTGTTCGCTCCTCAAACCTGAATCCTTTGAAAGCTGAGTTCCCTCCTTTGTCAGTTATCACACGTTTATGCATTCTTCCAAAAAGGAAGGGATGAGCCCAGCTCTTTCTTCCTACTTCCCCATTCCAGTATAGAACTAATCATATTCAGATATTGCACCGACTCCTTCAGACATCATAGAATAAGGTAATGCTTATGGTGTAAAAAACATTTGATATATTAATACATTAATGCATTTTCTGAAGTTTAACATTACTTACTAAAATCTAATACCCAAAGCATGGATTGAAAAGGAAGGATGAAGTTAGTTAAGACAAAGGAGTTATTTCCTAGTGTTTCATTTTAGGAAGCAAAGATGACTACCATTTCCTTTTTTTCTTTTTCCCTGTTTTTGGCGGGGGAAGGTAATTAGGTTTGTTTGTTTGTTTGTTTATTTGTTTGTTTAATGGAGAAACTGAGAATTGAACCCAGGACTTCATGCATGCTAAGCATGCACTCTACCACTAAGCTCTATTCTCCCCCCATTTCTTTTCAAATAAAGAAAAACAAATGGGTTTTGTAAGACCGAGTTGATGATCCAGAAATGATCTAGGATAATAATAATAGTTAGTTGCTTGAGGCTTTCCATATAAGGTATATGGTATTATGCCTTTTAACAAATGGGGAGATCATAGCTTGGAATGGTTAATACTTGCCCCCAAGGTCATAAATCTACAAAGTGATGAACATAAGATTTGAATTCAGGTAGTCAGATGCTTCTAGTGAAGGAAAGAATTTCAAAGCAGAAAATGATGACTGGTTTCTCATTGCAATGAAAATATATTCCCTTTAAACCGTGAAATAACTCATCTGTTCATAAATGTAGGTAATTGTGATACACCTTGGGAGGATGTGGCCTTAAAACTTAGCCCCTGTCTCATGTGATATGCTGGAAAACTTAGCTGTCAGTATTGATTAGTCAGAAGTCATTTCCTTCACATTTTATATCTTCTGAAAGAGATAAGCATCGACTGCTAAAGTCAAGTGCCTTATTTACACAGTGATTATGCACATTTACTTGGATTTATACCTTTTTTCCTTTATAGTTTTTTATTGACCAGTACATAGACATTTATTAAATGCTGTTTCGAATGGACAGATGGATGGGTGGGTGGATGGATATCACTGACTGTCTTGGGCAGCTGTTTAAGATCTACTCTGACTGGGTATTGTGATCTTGGCTGTTTCAGTTATCTTTTGCTGCCTAACAAGTTACTCCAAAACTTAGTTGGTTAAAACAATAACAGCTTATTATTTCTCGTGATTCTGTGGGTTGAGGGAGCTCAGCTGAGCCGTTTTTCTCCTCCACGTGTTGTTGGCTGGACCACTCATGTGGCTGTGTTCAGCTAGGAGCTGGGTTGGGCTGCCTCTGTGTTCCTCCATGTGGTTTATCTCTCAGCCGTGGATCTCATCCTCTAGGCGCTCTCCAAATGGACTCTGACTGCAGCAGAGCATCCTGGACATTCATTCAGCATGGCAGCTGGGTGCTGGAAGAGAGAATTCCAAGAGGACCAGCCCCGAAACACAGACTCTTACAGGTAGTCATATGGTCACACCCAGACTCACTGTGGGAGGGGAAATACAGAAGGTAACTCCAGGAGCTATGGCTCACTTAAGCCACTGTGCAGAGTCTGCCTCATTGGCTAACTTGTTTCCCCTTCTGATCTCTTTGAATATGAACTGGTCTAGAAAAGTAGAGTTGTAATGGTTAGGATGCTTTCAGTTAGACTTAACAAAAACCCACCTCAGACAAACTAAAGCAACAAAATAAGCTGACTCATGTAATTGTAAATTCAGGCATAGGTGGATCTAGGTGCTTAAATATTGTACTCCGGACTCTATTCTCCCTCTCTCATCTCTGCTTGATTCCATGCCAGCTTTATTTTCTAAAAGGCAATTACCATGTGATGAAAAAAAGTATCAACCATCCATATTTAAATTGTCTTCATACCTTACAAACTCAAAAGGTGTCAGCTCTCTTATGACTTCAATTTCCCAAAAGAGACTTATTTGCCCACAGTCCCCAGACAGAGGGGAGGTTTCCTGCCACATCAGTCTGTCTGTGGAAAGGATCCCTTTGGTCCCCTTTTCACTAAGACAACAGCTGTTCAAGTCATTATCACTGCATAACAAATCACTAAAAATTTAAGTGGCTTGAAATAACATTTAAAAAATCATTTTATTATCTCATGGTTTCTGTGGGTCAGAAATTCAAGACTGGCTCCACTGTGCAGTTCTGGCTCAAGATCTCTTCAGTGGCTGCACTCATATGGTGACTGGAGCTGGAAGTGGGGCAGGTAGGTGGGGGAAGGCCAGCAGGAGCAGATGGGAGCCAACGAGGCATCTCTCTCAGTATAGTTTCAGGGCTTCTCCATGTGCTCTCTCCACGTGGGATAAGTGGGGCCTCTTCATAGCATGGTGGCCTCGGGGCGGCTGGACTGCTTACATGACAGCACTGGCTCCTAGCACGAGTTTCCCAACAAGCAGGTGGAAGATGCATCACCTCTTCTGCCCTAGACCTGGACATCATGCAGCATCACTTCCGCTGACCAGCTCCATTGGTTACAAGTGAGACATACAGGATTCAAGAGAAGGGGAGTCAGACTCCACCTTTGATGAAGGAGACATGAGTTTCTACAAAACCACGTGGACCGAGAAGTATTCTTATGACCATCTCCGGAAAATACAGTCACCACAGCAGCCCTCACAGGGCCCTGGCTGGATGTAGGAGCCTCCGTTCTAATGTGCCCACTGCGTGGGCCCAGGTCATCATCACATTGTGCTGCAGACAGGTTTCTCTGGTTTCAGATGACCTTTGTTTTAGGTTAAGCAACTGCGGGTCTCCATCTCTTGTTCCGGAGCTATGATTGAGTTTTGTTGCTGTTCCCGTGTCCCCTCCGTCAGGCCCATGTGTTAGTAGCAGGAGGAAATACAGTCGTAGTCTAGTCCACCTGTCCCCAAACTGAATTTCACCTCCGTTCTTTGTCTCTGAAATTTTTGGCAAAAACTTCCACCAAATTTAAATCAGGTTTCTCTCAATCTTTTAACTTGAGAAAATAAAACATTTGAAACTCTTAGATTTTCTTTTTAGTTCTCTTGTCAAAAGTGAATCCAGATATAAGGAGTATGAGTTTTGAGCAAAATAAGCAAAATAGAGTCACACAAAAAATAGGAGAAAGTCTTGAAAGCAAGCAGCAAGAACTGACATATGACCTACAAACAAGCAGCAACAGTCCGAAAGCAGTTATTTCAAAAGTAACAATGTAAACTAAAATACAGTGAATATTGCCAGCATGCTAAGCGACAATAATTATCAATCAATCAAAGTTCCATATCCAACTACAACAGCAGGTAATGAAAACGAAAATGCCATTGAGGATACAACCAAGATGGCGGAGTAGGAAGACCCTGAACTCACCTCCCGCAGACACCCCGAAATTACAGCTCTCAGAAGAACTGTCTATGAGAACGACCTGAAGACTAGCAGAAAAGATTCTCCGAAACTAAAGATGTAAAGAAGGAACCACAAAGAGATGGCTAGGAGGGGCAGAGACACGGTATAGTCAGAACCTACCTCCCCCAAAGGGGCGACCCCAAAACAGGAAGACTATTACAATTGTAGAGATCCTCCCCAAGAAGCAAGGGGCCAGAGCGTCACATTGGGCTCCCTGGCCAGAGGTCCGGCAGCAGGAAGATAAGCTTCCAGAACATCTGGCTTTGAAAACTAGTAGGATTTATGTTTGGGAACTGGAGGGCTGTAGGAAACAGAGACTGCTCTCAAAGGGCACGTGCAACACGTCTCATGCGCTAAGTCCCAATCCAGAGGCCATCATCGGAAAGGAGCCTGGGTCAGACCCACTTGCTGATCTTGGAGATCCTGCCAGAGAGGCGGGAGGCAACTGGGACCTCCTTGTGGATGAAGACACTGGTCCAGCCATACTGAGGGGCTTATTCTCCCGTGGTGACATCAGCACATTTTGGAATCCTCCATCTCGGCTATTAGTGCCGGGGCATCCTCGCTCACCAGCATTGGCCTCACACCCCCTGGGCCACACAGCCAGCCATGCAGAAACCTGGCCCCACCCACAGCAGGCCCACAGTCACCACAGGGGGCAGGGCCTCAGTGGATGGCAGAAGGGTGGAGCCAGGATTTTCACTGTTGGAGTGGGTGGTTATAGACAAGCAAGGAAAGAGGTCTAGAACAATCTCTGCAGTAATAGATCAGTCAGACATCTATATAACTCATGTTTAGCTCAATGTGGATACAGATATTTACACAGAGAAATATCTGCAGATATGTGTATGTACACAGGTTAATATACACATGTATATTTGCTTGTTCTATGAGCTACGAGGGCATAGAAGCAGAGGTACCCCAGGAGCAGCCAGCACACTTAGTACCCAGAACTTGGTTTCCAGTAGCATTCTCTGCTACAAGGGCTGGTTAGGGCTCCTTGGAGAAATGGCTAATTCCACGACCGGGGCAGAAAATATACAAGATGAGCCTGGAGCATCTTATAGTGACACAAAATTTTTAAAGTGCTAAAAATGAAAGAAAGACTGACTAGAAAAAAATGAGTGACAAATAAAGTAGTATGGGGTTATAAGCCAAAGTATAAAATAAATACTTATGATATAAATAAATTATTAAATAAACATAAAAAGGGGGCGGGGAATAGACAAATCTCCCATACAGAAGAACTGCACTTAATTTATGTTGACCCTTAAAGAGGTGCAACATAACTTGCCACTTCTCAGGCGTGGGCTGCACGTGGTGACTCCCTGCCGTAGAGAGCAGTATGGAAGAGGGGAAAAGAGTAGCTGGACAGTGGAGACAGTTGAAAACACTGCCTGAGCCAGGTGATCGGGGTTAACACCAACAGTGATAAATAATGTGGAAAGTATGTTCCTTAGATGTGTCGTGATGAGGATGACTCTTTACCTCTGTGATCTCCCTCCCCAAAGCACATAACTGCAGGCTAATCGTGGAAAAAAATCAGACAAATCTCAATTAAAGGACATTTTGCAAAGTAACCCTAACAGCACTCCTCAGACTGTCAAGGTCATCAGAAACAAGTCATGGTTGAGAAGCTTTCACAGCCAAGAGGAGCCCAAGGAGACACGGCAGCTAAATGTCCTTTGTTGTCTTGGACGGGATCCTGGAGCAGAAAATAGACATCAGGTAAAAACTAAAGAGATCTGAATAAAGGACGGACTTCCATTAATAATAATGCATCGGTATTGGTTCATTCATTGTAACCAACCTTAGTTAATTATTAAGTCAGTAAGAAGGGAAACTGAGCATGGGGGGGGGGGCTGTCTTCACAATTTTTCTGTCAACCTAGAAGAGTTCTAAAGTTAAAATTTTATTTTTAAAAGAAAGTGAGTGCTACCAAAAAGGGAACACGAACACTCATGGGCAGAGAGCAGGAGTGTAAATTCCAACCAGGAGGGCGCATCACAGAGAGCTGGTCTACATAAAGCAAAGTCACAGAACTGCCAGAAAGCTTTTCAAGCTTTGTCACTCCAAGTGTGACCCCTAACCAGCAACGCTGTATCACCTGGAAAAGTCAGAAATTCAGGACCTTGGGCCCTACCCCAACCTACCAAGTAAAAATCTGCATTGTAACAAATTCTATGGGGGATTAATATGCATAATAACATTTAGAAGGTGCCAGCTTAGTGGCTGTCAGATGAGATTGGCTATTCATCCTCTGTCCTCCCCCAGCCCCACCTCTCCCCAGCAAAAAAAAAAAAAAACCTATAAATCTCAAGAATTCTGTTTTTCTGATAGACATTATTTACTACAAAAGTTGATGAACTTACCAAGGATTCTAATTGTGAAAATATTTCTAACAGGACAAATTACAGGCTGGATCTCTGGATAAAGACAACACTTTCAGTCTTATATAAATTCTGTACTAGTTATTACCCCTCAAACAACTTTGAGAGCTGGCGGGGGAGGGGGGTTCCTTTTTAAAAGGATAAGTGTTTACCAATCGGTTTGAGGTACTGATATAGGTAAGCTCACTCTGGAAAAGAAAAAGGCTTTCCCTCTGCCGGGATGAAGGTGTGTTCACCTGTCTACCGAGTGGAAAATCAGGCAGAGTAATTACAGGTGGAACAAGGACTATAAGCTCCCGATTACTCTCAGGAAACATTTCTGAGTCTAAATGCACTTTTTAATTAGCTCTTCCAATAGCATCATGCTAATCGGCTAATTTGGAGATGATATGAGACCCCGTGTGCTTTAAAGAAAATCTGTTTGTTGATATATTTATTTGCACCTGAGACTGTCTTATTGCTGGCAGGATGGATATTATTAAAACAGAATCACCTGCTTATTTTAACCAGATTTTTTTTTTTAATGAACAGACATGAATTGGATTATCCCTCGGGTTTCAGGAGGAAGTATTAGCATTTTGAGTGATGGGAAATTGCCACTTAGCCAGGAAATAAATGAGCTTTAAATAGATCCCATTATTTTTTACAAGGTTATTATTGTAAATGTTTCATAATAGAAGAAATGCCCTTCAAGTCTATCCTCATTGTTGGTTTATGATTGGGGTGTTAACCTCTTAACTAGCCCAGCTCTTCACATCAAACCACAGTGAGTTTTCGTAAGTGGTTATTACATAAAATAAAATTACCTTTTATTGGTCCACATAATATTTCCAACAAGTTTCTCCATTTGTTAGCAATGTTGTGAAGAAAATGTATTGAGGTTATTCATCTGCGCTAGGAAACAGAGGCTTTTTAAAGCTTTTATGAGTTTAACATATTTTACTATTCATCAGACCATCCTGAACTCTATCAAAACATGACTTAGGTGAGAACACAGTGTTATATTGGTATATTTATTTATATCTCACCTGAATATTTCACACTGCTTTACCCGTTTCACTAAGAGACGACACTTTATAACCCAAACCAACTCTAGCTTACTATTTGAAATGTTCCTTTCCAGTCTAATTACTGCCACTAAATAATAAAAAACCTGGGTCACCAGGGATTTCGGTAAGTGTAGTGGTAAACAGTCTCCTCCCTCCAGCTCCACATTCTCCTTTTTTCCGGAAAGCGTTACTGAGCCGCTGCCCTATTCTGCGCTGCAGGTTGAGCCGCGTCGCTAACTTTAGAAATGCTAGGGTGCCCCCTACCGGTGCAAATGGGGAAGCACGCTTCTCCGCCGTTCTATTCAGAGAATAATAAGATTCTTCCAAAAAGAACACTCAAGTTCAGGTAAATGATGGTTAGTCACGTGGATGGATGGATGGAAGCATAAGGACGGATAATAACCCTACCTAAGGATAAATTTAAAATTTAGGAGCGGAGCTACTTTAATGTTCAACCTGGTCTAGAGAGCCATTGGTGAAGAGGGGGAAGGAGGTTGAATATTACATGACCAAAAGTACCTGTGTATGTGCACTTTTCTAAAATGACAGTTTGCAACTCTCATCATGATTTCAAAGGGACGTGTAGCCAAGGTCACTCTCTGCGCCTTTCCCTGTCACCTTTTTTTGGTAATGTCAGCATCCCTATAGGTGATCCTTCTGCTTAACCCCCAACTTCTCACTTTTTGAACTCCTCTCCTTCCGCGATCTTGTTCTCCACCTACTTCAGTCACTCGGGCCCATTGTCACGTCCTAACCATTATCACCAACAACTCTACCACATCCAGACTCACGGGCAAGCATTCCACTCTCCGATCACCAACTCATATTTTCCTAGCTTATTTCTTTGTGTTACGTCTTCACAATTCTTTGACCCACTGGAATGGTTCAATCCATCCACTCTGCCATTTTTCACTACCATTTCATTTCTGAACTCTCTCTTTACCCACCTTAGTTTCCACAGTATGTCACCAGAATCACTTTCTTGCACGCACTCAGCTCTTTTATCCCTTCCCCCTACTATCTTACTCACCAGGTGAAATTCCAACCCAAGCTAAATCCAGACCTCCACTATTCCGGATCTGAAGTTCAGGGGTTGCATATGGAGAAACTAAAGATAAACACAAAACCGAGTAATCAATCTTGCCTTACATTTATAATTTCCAAATTCAAGAATTTTAAATATTATTGACAAATTGGACTTCATCAAAATTCAGAACTTCTTTCTTAAATTTAAAAACATCTACAGAACACAAAGCTGATAAAAGACTTGTATCCAGAATACATAAAGAACTCTCGAAACTCAAAAATAATAAAACAAATGTCAATTTAAAAAAGGGGGGCAACATATTAGAACAGACACTTCGCCAAAGACGGTACAGGCATGGCCAGTGAGCCCATGAAGGGTGCTCAACATCACTAGTCACCACAGAAATGCACATTCAAACCACAGTGTGCCATTCCTGAGCACCTGTTAGGATGACTGAAATTAAAAAAGGAAAACCGACAATACCAGGGTGCACGAGAATGCTTGGAAATTGCTGGAGATAACACAAAATGATTCAGCCGTTTTGGAAAACAGATTTGCAGTTTCTCAGAAAGTTAAACATAGACTCACCATGTAGCCCAGCAGTCTTACCCATAGGTACTTCTCAAGAGAAATGAAAACTTACCTTTACACAAAATCTATACCTGAGTATTCGTAGCAGCTTTATTCAGAATTGCCAAAAACTGAGAACAACTTACCCAGTGAATGGATCAACAGGTTGTAGTCCAGCCACCAAGTGGAAGACTGCTCAGCGATAAAAAGGGGGTACCACTGACCTACTGCAATAACATGGCTGGATCTCAAAAGCATTGTACGAAGTGAAAGAAGCCAGTCTCAAAAGGCTAGCTACATATTCCGTGATTCCATGTATATGACATTTTGAAAAAGGCAAAACTATGGGGACAGAGAACAGATCAGCTGTTGTAGGGGCTGGAATGTGAAGGGGGAATGAGAGAATTTTGAGATGTGGTAGACCAGTTCTATACTTTGTTTATGCTGGTGTTTGCACAGGCTGAATGCATTTGTTGACACTCATAGACACACACACTTCGAAAGAGTGGATTTTAACAGACGTAAATCCTATCTCAATAAACATGTTTAAGAAGTGATACAATTGATCACAACCTAGAAAACAAAAAATAATATAGAAATAAATCTAATAGAAGATGTACAATATCTCAACAAGGAAACTAAACAGCATTTACTGAGATGAGGAAAGGCTAAATAAATGCATGGATGTACCATATTTATTGTGTGGAAGTCAAAACATTATCAGAATGTCAGTTCCCCAATTGTTCTTTAGAGTCACTACAATCACAATAAGAATCCCAGCAGATTGTGTGTGTATGTTTTAAAAAAAATAGAGGGGGAGAGTACAGCTCAGTGGTAGAGCGCATACTTAGCATGCATGAGGTGCTGGGTTTAATCCCCAGTACCTCCATTTGAAAAAAAAGTAGAATGAGGAGCTCTGCTCAAAGAGAGAAAAGTGCTAGGCAGGCCATGATGGGTATTCTGAATGACCTGAGCTATAAGCCAGTGGGGATTGTCAAATCTGCCAAAGTCAACAATGGACACCTAGTTAAGAAAAGTAAGAATCACGGAGCCGAGGGCAAAGTCAAGAGGTCAACGTGATGATTATACTAATTGATGAAGAACAAGGGGGTACTTACAAGTGGGTGGGATGAGCTATGACCTATTCTAGGCCTTCTGATATTTTCTGAGCTAAAACGGTGCAAGGTACTCACCTGCCTACTATCTCCATAACCATCGAAACCACCTTACAAGCTGAGGAGGAAGCCCTTGTTGCTTCTTTGTCAGTAAGAACACAGCACAGCTTCGTAAGGTTAGGTGTCTTTCCCAAAGTCACAGATGCAGTGAATGACAGATTTATTTTTCATGTCTAATGCTCCCAATTTGCTCCTCAGAAGGGATCTGATTGATGAACCAAAATTGCTAAGCCTTGTAACTCTCCGCAGTCAGACTTAGTAAAGCACAAGGTCCTGCAGACTGTGTCATCCTAGGGACTGTGGTTCCTGCAGGTGGGAATCAAGAAGCCAGCACCCCACATCTGATGCAATACAGCTTAGGAAAAGGGTGTCATTGTAGCAAAAAGCAGCTGTTTGACTCCAGGGGTCTGTGTGGGGCCACACAGCTGGGTTCACAGGAGGGCCGCTCGCTCCCTGCTGAGCCCTGCGTGATTCACAGGCTAAAGGCTGCTTCTTCAGTCACAGGACCATGTACGCAAATGGCATCAAGCAAACAGCAGAGATGCTGGCCTTAACTGCAGATACACTAGAAAGTTTCCAATTGCTCAGATGTTGGGGGGGGGGACTTTATTATAAAGCCACAAGGAGGCCTTGGTGACACCACAAGCTGGGGAGGTGTCTCAGCCAGGCTTCTGTAACCAGCAGAGGTGGCTTCAGGGTGCAACCTGCTGCTCCTTGACTGCCTTTCAGTTAGAACATGAGTCTGCTTGTTAGTGGCAGTGACCTCAGCTTATGGCAGATTGCCAAGACCCAGTAAGCAGCCACTAAGGCAAGGATTCAGTCCTGGAAAAGGGTCTTTCCATGTACATTTTTAGGCATTAGGAGATGAAACTTTTAAATGGTAAGTCATTCAGATGCCTTTTTGCCACAGAGCTTGGGAAGAGATTTTAAACAGGGCTCACACAGATAGGCGTCACCAGGTCCCTGGTCCCAAAGCCACCCTCCATCAGCCTCACCTGGACTCGTGTGGTTCAAGGGTCACCCCCACGTATACCCCGTGACTCTAGACTGTTTAATTCATTGAAGGAAAAAGCCTTCACAGGAGGTAGGTTTCTGAACCGTAAGCAATTCCAATGCACAAAGCAATGGAAGCAGCTCGTGGGAACAGCACTGAACAGGCCCCCTCACAAAGGCTATGGTGTAGCAGCGCCCACACACAGCTCAGGCCCCCAAGGCTTGGACGGCATCCGCAGTCATGAAGCTTAAAGGCAGAAAAGTTGTTTCAGATTAATGGAAACTAAAGAGACATGACAACTAAATGCAGCCTGTGTTTGTAAGTTGGATCCTACCTAGGTCAAGAAGAGTATTTTTCAATATAAAGGATTATTGGAGAGATTTGCATAAAGTCTGTAGATCGGATAATAATGCTACAGTAATGACAGTTTCTTGGTATTGAAAATTGCACTGTGATTGGGTAACAGAATGTCCATGTTTTCAGGAAACATAAACCATAGTATTTAGAAATAAAGTCATGTACACATATGTGAGTGGGTGAGTAGGTGGATGGAAGGATAAATGAATGGATAGATATGTTAACATTTAAAACAAAAAAGCAATGCAGAGGGGAAGAGTATAGCTCAGTGGTAGAGCGTCTGCTTAGCATGCACAGGGTCCTGGGTTCAATCCCCAGTACCCCATTAAATAGGTATATGTGTGTGTATGTGTGTATATAAAATTACTTTCCCCTCCCCCCCCAAAAGGTAAGCAATTTATCCAGCAAAATCATGTTTATTTGGCAATAGGAGAGGAATTGCAATTCTGGACATGCAAACTATCGCAAACCTTAGGCAAGTCTAGAGAATACAAGAGAAGAACGTTCATCTATAGAGGAAAAGGAGAAAGTTGGGAGGGACTGTTTTGAGCAAAATGTAATTGGAGGAGAGTGAGAATTCGTGGTTGTGGCAACTTCTCATTGGCTGGGTTGTTGCTGGGCAAGGAGAAAACCTCCCTTCTTCCTGCTGGGGCACGCGAGGCAAGCTGCAAAGAGCGGGATGTTCATGAGCATTCCCCCTTCAGAGCTTCCTGAGTCCATTTTGAAGGAGG